AAACACAGATTATTCATATGTTCTCAGAAAAACTGGCAAGATCATTAAAAGGCTGTCAACGGAACATCAGTCCCCAGCCAAGTTCCACAAGCACACCATACAAGGGTGACTTGAAAAAGAGGAGGTTTAATATTTTCACTTTAAAACTCCTCTTCACTCACTGAGGCCCTATAGTTTATAATATTTTCAGCAATTTTTCTCAGCCATGTAACTTGAGCCCCAATATATGCTTCTTTGTACGCAACAATACTAACTCAGCAACTCCATTTCAAATGTAAAGAAATAACAGACTCAGACCACATACCTCATGCAAGGCACGGGATTTGTACAGGCATTGCTTCAAATCTATCTAGTTTTACATATATCATCCTTTTTCTGACCACAGGAGCTTTCAAACCATCTGTTCTTTCACCCAGTTAGACAACATAGGAGTTCAATAGCTTCTGCTGTATTTAAACTGCTGTTAACGTTGAGAGATAAATGTACTCCACATTACACAAACATTGGCTTCTTGGGGCATATCCAATAAATTTCTAAAAGCTCTTTTATGGGAATGCTACCCATATATACTGCTCTTCAAAGCTCTCAGGCACAAATCTTTCATTATTTTATAGAGGACCACTTGTGGTGTGTCTCGGAGAAATCTCCCAAGAGACAAAAATCTGAATCTCCCTGAAGACCTTCATCCCGGTGAATAATTTAATCTAAGTACTTCAATTAGCTTTGTCCCATCTCTCTTATCTAAATCTCCAACCTGGAATCAAAATATATTCCTTAATCTCCAACAATAAATGGTTCAGCATCATGTATCCCTGATGTGAGGGTCGAAAATATCTCCTGATTATTATTATTTATTTACTTTTTAGATTTATATTGAAGTAAAAGACTTGTGATCAAGTCAGTGGCTTAAAACAAGCATTAGTTTCCCTTTAAAATTTTCATTTTTGCGTTTTCTCCGAATTGGTGCAATTCTCGTATGTCTAAGTCCTATGTTCAGCAGTGTACAAGTTCTGCCCAATATATATACTTAGTGATATACAGCTATAAAAATACTCCCCTGGAGAGTAGGAATTAAAAGTGTAAATCACTAAGTCAGATCAATTAAGCAAGATAACACTCATTGAAAGAACCTTTGTTTTACTATATTTTAAGATTAAATCCATCAGAAATGCTTTAAAAACAGGAGCATCTTGGTGATCCCATCAGAAGTCTGCAATCTCACAATCAGCTCAGTCTGCACATAATATTAATGATTCATCATATAAATTGAAAGAATCAGAATTCCAAAGAAGCCATGTTACAGACTAACATTACATCTTTGATGGTTTTCCCACTTCTTGGCAACAGTATAAATGAAATTGGCAATTAATTCTCTTTCTGGAATGATACTACTACTGCATTATCAAAAATATTTGTATATTAAAACATATTAATTCTTATCAAATATTGACAATTTTGGATATACTTTGAAAAATAGTAAAAAAGCATTACTCTAATAAAAATTATTTAGATTAACAAGCTTCTTTGTTTTTAAAGAATGGGTTAAAGATTTGCTGCTTTAGAAAATATAGCACTGCAAAAAATTCTAAATAGGTATCATATGAACCATAAGAATTAAGGCAGTTTTAAGAATTGTATTGCTGTGGTAAGAAAAAAAAATGCAGCCTGCCTGCAATAACAGACTAGGAATATTACTTTTATCTCCATTAGGATCCTATCTTATGGATGTATAAAAGCCTTTTCTTGGCATAACTTCCCCTCTTCACAATGACCACCCACACCTCACTCTTAGCCTCAGAGGCTCTTTAAATCCTTGTTTTGCATTTTATTATTTTGCACTTTGTTGCAATTCATGCTTCTCACCAGGTACCTTATAAGCATATTCCACACATACCACAAAACTATTCTGGCTAGCTGTGAGAAACCTGCAGCTTTTATTGCTGCATCATTTTGCTTCAGTGAACATCTCATCTAAGCATAATTGGGCCAAGGGAAAAAACAAACAAACAAACATTAGTTGAGGATTTAAAGTCAGCTGAGGGATGGCAGCAACTACCAAACACAAGTGGCATTGTTAATTCTGAGAGCTTGCTAGGAGGCATGATGGAGAGCATCACATACTTCACGCTGAAGTTGAGCTGGCTCTGGAAAGTGATGGGGCACTATTACAAAAGGAAAAAATTGAGCTTATACAAGAAAATATTGCAAACATGTATTTCCATAGATATGGTTGTACTATCTGTAAGCAGTGGGTGCAAGTATGCAGGCTCCAATTTTTCTTCAATCATATAGCTAACTATTCTGTCCTTCACTTGACCTCTCAACTTCCACTTTCAGAGTTTCTGCTCTGGATTTGACATAGAATGTTAACAGCACAAAACTGCCAACAACCTCTGGACAGAGCTACCCTCAAGACCGATGGCTCTCCAAGATCAAGAAACCCAATTCTGATATGCATGGTACAATTAATAACAGAGACAGTTTATGCTACTCTAGGGTGGAGACAAATCAGTAATGACATCTTTGAAAGCATGGAGATGATTAGGTGGAATTCCAAAACCCAAAAGAAGGAAGCCAGAAGAGCTGCTGAATTGGAAAGAAAAAAACAAAATGGCACCCTATGGATTTATTAGTTCTGGTTAGAACTGGTAGGATTAGTGGTTATATATCAACATAAGATTCTTTTTAAATTCTGAGAGGCTGGTACTGTGTTTACTTCAAGGTCATTCATATAAGAGAAAGATCATGTTGGGGATAAAATACCTCAGCTGAGGAATCTGACACAATATCCTAAATGCAAATTCAGTGAATTAAAAATGTGAAATATTTTAATCCAACTGAAAAAGACATCAAAACCTGAAGATTTAATAGGCATTGAATTCTTAATGGATGTAGAGCCTCTTGGAAGTGCCAATAAGCAACATTACTCAAAACTATATCACTAATCAGCAGAGATCTGGTTTGGAGTGGAAAAAGAAATTCACAAAAACAATTTAAATCCTAGAATTTAAAAAAATGACAATCCCAATTTTAATTCTACATCACTTTAGCCACTCTTATGCTTTTGATGAAGCTGAGCTGAGGTGGCGCAGTGATTAGAATGCAGTACTGCAGGGTACTTCTGCTGACTGCTGGCTGCCAGCCCCTTTGGCAGTTCAGTTCTCACCCGCTCAAGGTTGACTCAACCTTCTATCCTTCTGGGGTTGGTAAAATGAGGACCCAGATTGTTGGGGGCAATATGCTGACTCTGTAAACTGCTTAGAGGGGTGTGTGTAAAGCACTGTGAAGCAGTATATAAGTCTAAGTGCTTTTGCTTTTGCTACAGCAGTTCATTTTGAAAAGATGCTACCAGACTCCTCCTGAGTTATCTATCAAGCATCACCTGAATATCTGTATTTTATACTGAAAAAATATGTGGTTTTTTTAAAGAAATACTTTATTCTATTATTCTATTATTGTGTGAACTACATGTCCAACACTATTCCATTTACAGATAAACATTTTACATTTTTGGTCTTTCTTCATGAAGGAAAAAATGCTGGGAAGGAATACTATGTATTTTAAGAACAAGGGATCAAGTTATTTGGGAAAAGAAAAGAAAAAAGTAGAAACCTATTTCAGACCAATATATCTACCCAATCAGAAACTGCCAGAACCTGGTACTCTAGTAAGTTATTATATGTATAAGAAACTCTTAAATTACATATTGAACAGTTAATTAGGGCCTTCAAGAAAAGGCTATGACAGCATGTCAAAGCTCTGGGCTGTCTGCCATCCTGTTATATATTCACCCAAACATACATATTGCTCTTTTTTAATTGACTGAAGCTGAAAGAAGCAGAAATAATTCATTGACTAACAGACAGTAGTTTCTCATAGGAAAAGGGAAAGCTACTACTATGCGGGCAAGGGGGTGGGATGGGGACGGAGGTCAGAAGAGTTGGAGACTAAAAGAGAGATTTCTGGAAAGAAGGATAGCTGGCAAACAAAAATGGCTTCTAGGCAGCATTAGCTATGAAGGTTTCTTGGTTCCAGGAAAGCTGGAATCAGAGTTGGTGGTGGTCCCAAAACATTGAAGAAAAAGACAAACAACAAAAGTGCCTTCCTGGCAGAAATGGCTTCCAAGACTAAAGAGCCAGAACATCATCCAAGAAAGAATACCAGGTAGTATAATTAACTCCTTGCTTAATTCTAAGTAGGAAAGGAATATAGAAACAGCACTTCAGACATTTCACCAACATTACAGACTGCACTCATTTAGAAGAAAAAAACCTTTAGTATGCATGGCCGGGTGCACATAAAACAGACTGATGTTTTATGACTAACAGGATAATGGAGTTGGAAGAGACCTCCAGTACCATTTCAAACAAATAGCTGTCCAATCTCTGCTTAAAAACCTCCAGTGATAGAGCGCCCACAACTTCTGGAGGCAAATTGTTCCACCGATTAATTGTTCTAACTGTCAGGAAATTTCTCCTTAGTTCTAGGTTGCTTCTCTCGATTAGTTTCCATTCGTTGCTTCCTGTCCTGCCTTCAGGTGTGTTGGAGAATAGGTTGATCCCCCTCTCCTTTGTGGCAACCCCTGAGATATTGGAACACTGCTATCATGTCACCCCCTAGTCCTTCTTTTCCTCTTTACCACCCTAAGGACTTTGCACTCCTTATCAGAAAGGAAGGAAGTAGGAGGGTGGAAGAAAGCAAACTTGCTGTAATGAAGAACTGCTTGAAGTACTTTCCATGAATGAAAGCAAAACTAAGAACTTGCCTTGGTTTGCTAATAGAAACAAAAATAAAAAGCACAAGGTTGTAAGCTGTGAGTTGGACCAGATCCCGTTAACTTATGAAGCCCTCCTGATTCAAACTTCTCACTCCGTCCAGATTTTAAGTAACTGAAACTGGCTTTGGCTTGTAAGATACTGAAAACTACAGATAAACCATATATATTTACTACTCTTCACAGAAGTCATAGGTTAACAGAGATGTAGGTTATGAATATTTACCTTATAGAAGACATCAGGCACATATTGTTCACTGCTGGATTCTTTTGCATAGCCGAGTTCTGAAGCATCACGGCATGGCAACAAACATTCATCACGCACTAGAGCCATGCACTGATTAGATACTTGGTAGCCCTCAAAGTGAACTTGGTTGTCAGGACCCCCTGAAAAGAGATATTTTAAAAAGAGAGGTTTGAACACGCCTCAAGCTGCTAGATGGGTTATCACTAATTTTATGAAGAACGTGTTATTTCATTAAGAAATTCAGCATCAATCCAGATCTTATTGCCCAGATGGACAGACTTTTTCTAAAATTTGGGCTTAAAAGTTTTCAAATGATGAATGATATAGCACTGTCCAAAGGATTCACCACATATAGATTTTTTTTAAAAGACAAATTGTTCATTAGACAATAATATACAGAGCATGATATATCATGTTTCACCATTCCTGAAAGATTAAATAAACTGATTCCTTATGTATTTTTTTTCTTACTGTGAAGTAGATTTTATAAAGGTAGCACTGAGCACTGTATCCTTCCCGATTCTTCTACAACCTCTTCACCATACCTTATCTACGATCAAATGGGCGTTTATAAACATTACAGGTAGTCCTTGCTTAATGTCAGTAATTACGACTGGAATTTTACTAAGAAATGTGGTTGTAAAATGCAATGTCACTTGACTACACCACTTAGTGACTGCAATCCTGGCAGTCCCCATTGCTGTCATTTCTACTTTTATTCTTTATTATTTATACTGTAATAGTCTTTATTATTTATTTACCACCATACTCCCAAATTTTAGTTGTAAGTAGCTTGCAACTAAAAACCAACTTATTCAAATACAATAGTCCAGAAGAGCAAAGCACAACAAACAAACCAAAACTGATACTAGACTAAAGAAAGACTCCACAATCATCTATATTCAAAGCCTGGGAGAACAATCGGATCTTCAGTAATTTCCTGAAAGACATAAGGGCAGGAGCCACACAAATGTCTGGGGGCAGATTGTGGCGCAGGGCAGAAATTGCAACTGGCTTTCTGTAACAATGCATTTTTTTAATTGATGGGACTCAGACACCCCGCTCTGCTGGACCAAACCAGATGGGCAGAGGCAACTGGAGATCTCTGAGATTAGCAGGCTCTATGCCAGGAAGGGTTTTAAGTTGATAACCAGCATCTTGAATTGCCCCCAGAAGCAAACTGGCAACCAGTACAGCCTGCAAAGCAGCAGGATCATATTCCCATAATGTGTTGCCCCTATCATTGCTTGCATCACCCTATTCGCAAGGGTGACTAAACATAAAAATATTTAGTCTACATAAACATTTTAAGTAATAAATAAAACCATGTAGTCATTTACCAAAAAACAAAAATAAACACTAGACCCTCAATGATTCATGTTTCTGTACTAGTTCTTCCTAAATCTTTGAAGGTTTGGACAGCAAGTTAAATCATTCCACTGAAAGACGGAATTGTTTAGGCTGACAGAATTTTCCTATATTTACTTGTGTTTTAATTTTTGTGAGCTTTTATCGGGTTAGAAATCAAAGGCAGACTTTATAAAATTGCTTTTTGAAATATAACTCATTTCATATTACAAGTTTCCTCTACAAAATCAATTTTGAGTCAGTGACCTTATTATTCGTGAAGCTTATACACAAGTGGGCATAATCGAGTGTCAAGTGGTAACCTGTTTATAACATGGGAATTGCTCCTCCTCCTGCTCCTCTCTCTCCACTCCTAAAATCAGGTGCTATACACAGAGTTAAAGATGTCCAGGGGAAAGAGTTCATCTTTTAATTCTGCTGACAGGAGCGGTTCTGTCATGAACTCAATGGGTTGAACGAAAATTTCCTAATGTTTTTGTGGTCTCTGAAAATGGTATCCCTCTTTCTATCTGCAAGAGCTCAGTTTTCTTTAGAATCCTGTCTCTAACATATAAGCTGCTACCACTTATGCTACTCAAATTAACAGTGCTGATTATGTAATTTGTGCAAAAACCAGCTGTAGATAGTTGCTCATTCTTCTTATGTTTATCCCCATCTGTCTATTGCTGAAAAAGTGAACAAAGTGTCACATGCAGCCCAAATTAAGGGCAGCTTGGTTAAAAAAAAAGAGCATAATATTAATAAACCCTAATGTTTAATGTAATGCGATAAACACAGAGTCAAAGATTCTGGTCTTATCCAATTTGTCTACTTCCATTTTATACAAAGAGATCATTTGTAATATTCCTAAAAGACAATTTTGCATTGGGCGTATAAGACAAATATAGCCTTTGGAGTAAATTGCTCTATAACGATGTGACTCTAAAACAGCACCAAGAGGTATTAAGGCAACTGCAGAACCCCAAAATCTAAAATATCATTGTAAGTATTTCTAACTCTGGGAAATATCACTTAATTAACTGCAAATAAAGGTTGAAAGTGCAGTGACGGCCCTGAGGTTTCTACTCAGCTGCTGACAAGCAACAAATCTAGTGACATGGATTACAATGTTTCAGGAAGCACATTATATGACAAACATTTCATTAATTAAAAAGAATCTTGTAAGAATTGGCCTAACAGAAAACCAAGCATCGTTGAGAAAAAAATCCACAAAAGTATTACCATCCTCTTCTATCTAAATCTCATTTTGTGAGGGAAGGATAGAAAATCTTAAGAAAATCTAATTTTGAAAACATATTCTTGTGGATTCTTTGCTTTTTGGGGGGGGGGAAGGGAGGGAGGAAAGAATGTATCTGATTGGTCAAAATAAAAAGGTAGGAACTGCTGATAGAGAGTACAATCGGGTGAAGCTAACCTTTTCTTCTACAGATGCAGAAGCACATTAGGATCCATGGCAGTCCTCAACTTGTAACAGTTCATTTAGTGACCATTCAAAGTTACACTGGTACTGAATAAAGTGACTTATTACCATTTTTCACAGTTACAACCTTTGCAGCATCCCCATGGTCATGTGATTAAAATTCAGATGCTTGGCAACTGGTACATATTTATGATGGTTGCTGTGCCCCAGAGATCATGTGATCACCTTTTGCGACCTTCTGATAAGCAAAGTCCATGGGGAAGCCAGATTCATTTTACAACCGGGTTACTAATTTAACAGCTTCAATGATTCACTTAACAACTGTGGCAAGAAATGTTGTAACATGGGGCAAAACTCATTTAACAAATGTCTCACTTAACAACAGAAATTTTGGGCTCAATTGTGATCGTAAGTTGAGGACTATCTGTATTTAGGTTGAAAATTGCAGAGAGTAGATTTTGGAATTTAGGACTAAATATACTTGGATGAAAAATATTTAGTGAGGAATAAATTTCAACATAATTACAGTACAGCTTGCCAGTTAAAACAAGGTAACTTATAGCAACATAAACTAGTAGAAGGAGAAAAGAATTTGTGTTATGAGAAGGCAAAAAAAAAAAAAATGAAAGTGACATCTGAAATCAATCACCAATTCATGTACCCTGGCAAGTTTCCTATATTTATATATTTCTAAATAGTGTTAAGTTGCCAATATCCAAAATAGCTATGCCAAAATATAATAAAATGGTTGATTGAAATAGTAGTTAAACACAGCGGGAATAAAACTACTAAAATAGGCCATATACAGCAGTAACATAAACAGATTAAAAAGGCCTAGAGGAATAAAAAATTATTTGCCTCGCACTAAAAATAACAGAATAGACAGCAGGTGGACCTCTTTATAGAACTAATTCCATAGCCAAGGAATTATTACTTGAAAACCTCTGCTTCTGTTTTGTCATCCAACATGCCTAAGCGTACCCTGACATTTTCGTAAGCAGAAAAGTCAGAATGTAGAGCAAAATACATTGTGTTTGATTTTGAACATTTCTGGTATCTGGAAAACCTTTACCTTGGGGAGAAAGACAGACAAGAACTCTTCAGGTTAAGGAGAAAGACTACAGTATTTTATTATTACCTGTAGCCACAACAGTCACAAACTTAGACCCAAAATGTCCATCTGGAGACAAGCGGCATATGTTTGGCTGCTGGTTCTGAAAATGCCCAGCTGTAATGCATTCTTCTGCACTAAGGAAATAGGCATCCTAAAGAGGAAGAGAAGACAACACAACACGGGCGAGTGCTTTTAAGGAAACCTAACATGATTTATTTTTTAAAAATATATATAAATTAATATCCCGCATAGATTTATCATTCTGGAAAAAGATTATCCGGTATCAGGTGATCCTCATACCTACAGTAACTGTGCATTTTCATTACTTTCTAGTTTACTTTATCCTTACGATGTCCTCTGTATGTTTTCTGACAGAATAGAAGCAGTATTGAGATGAGGGGATTTGGTATGTCTTGATATGAGAAATTATAAGCTGAATCTGGGCTTTGTGTGATAGATAACTTAAACAAGCACATTAGGAAAATGAATTGGGAAATTAGGTTTGAAAATGAAAAGTAAATCAAGTTTATCTATCTGATTTCTAGTTGGGAACATTTAAGACCAAGTTTAAACAGTTACCCTTTCTGTCAATGACAGGAATACGCTGAAATTAAGATGGGTTTTCCCATTGCCTGACTTCCCAAGGAACCAAAACCTCTATACCAATAAAACTGCAAAGAGTTTTGATCTCACTGGTATCTGGTAGTATCTGTGGTAACATACTATCCACTTCAGACTTAGTTTTAGACTTGGTCTATATATTTCAATTTCATCAAGGTGGAAAAAGGGTGACAAAAATAATTAAACTTTGTTGTTCAGTTCTGGTCTCAAAATAATGTCCAGCTAAGATATTTACGAAAATATTATAGAAGATTCAACACTGGAAAGGCCAGAATTAGGAGAAAAAATTAAAAACTGGTTCGCATGCAAAAACTGTAATAAAAAGTGGAAAACATTTACAGTTATTAGATATTCAGGTTACTTTTAGGCGATAGTCTGTAGGTTATCATCATAATTGCACAAGCAGGCTTCAACTGACAGACATTATAACGTTCAATCAAATGCATTATAGAGATATGGTATAGTAATATGGTGTTCTCAAAGCTAAAAAATCTTTTAAAAAAAATACAACAGGCAAGATGAGTGCTAATGAAAGTCTGTTTTAAAAAAAGTCTCAACAGGTGACAAGATTTGGCTCACTTCATCTGAGTTCAGAAACTAAGCGGCTTTAGGCCTGGTTAGTACTTTGATGGGGAGACATCCAGAGCTATAGACCAGGAAGTCACAAAAAGCCACCTTGGAAGAAAGTAAACCATTTCCATACTTTTGGGGGGGCAAGAAAACTATACAGAGCTGTGTCTATTGCCAAGAACCAAACCCAATTCAAATGAGACTTTAGCTTTTTATTGAAGGGCAATGAAAATATGTTGTGACATATAACAGCGGTCCCTAACCTTTATGGCTTGGTGGCTTGACGGGGTGAGAGGGGAAGTGGCCTGTGTAAGTGGTGGGCTGGCATACTACTCCTGCGAGTTGCTGGCCCGGCGCACTTGTAGCTCAATTCACATGAGCGGCAGGTTGGTGCGAAAAGCCTGCTGCTCATGTGAGTTGAGGCACGCGCGCATGCATGTGCACACCAGCCCACTACTTGTGCGGCCCACTTCCGAACCAGCCATGGCCTCGGGGTTTGGGAGCCCTGACATAATAGTACTAAAAATATGCTACATATTCCTTCTGTATGAAAATCCTACACTATCCATCACAGGATTCCTTTTGAACCCCTGTTCCTGACCATGAATTATGCATATAGATAGATGATGCAATAATTGCTATAAAACCAGAAGCAAATTAAAGAGAGAAAAAATTCTTACCTTGTTTCGGCTATAGCGAACAGTCCCCTTCCGTGTGTCCTCTGAAACCAGATCTGTGAATATCCAGCCAACCTTAAAACATAATAAATATATATGTATATATATGTCTTGTTTTATTACAAAATGTTGCCCATCCTAGTTAGTACAATATGGTCTTAGTTATATAAATCCCTTAGTGAAATATGCTTCACAACTGTCTGAAAAAAAAAATCCTTAGCATTGCAGAACTCATTTGAATATGTTTTATAGTGCCAGTTGGTAAAGACCTGCAGCTTTAGGCTCCCTTATGAAAAGGTCTGCAGATTTCTGCATGGATCCCACTTCTCACCCTCCTTATAAAAAAAGATATTTACTCTTCTGTGATTTACACTGTAAAGTCAAAAGCAGTTCACAGAGCTGCTCTCAAAATCCAAGTTTTATACTAGTTAAATTAAAAGGCACAAGTCTTTCCATTCAGATCTTTCTGGCTTAGCACCTATCTCAGTGATGGCAAGCCTTTTAGAGACTGAGTGGCCAAACTGCAACCCAAAACCCACTTATACATCGTCGAGTGCCGGGTGGGTGTGGCACATTGGCTGGGTGTGGCCAATTGGGTGGGCGTGGCTGCAGTGGTAACGGCAGACTGGGTGGGACTAAAAAGTTCAATCAATCAATTTCAACTTTGCAAGATCTTTTTTTTTCTGCAAGAAGTTGAAATTGACTGACTGAAACTTTTTTTTTTTTGCACATGCCGGCAGAGGCCTAAAGCGAAAAGGTTTTATAAAACCCAGCTGAAGGCCTAGGACTGGGGCGACGGCACGCGTGCTCACAGAGAGGGCTCTGAGTGCCGCCTCTGGCACCTGTGCCATAGGTTCGCCACCACTGACCTATCTGCTTGCTTATGGAATCTGCCCAACAGGTGAAGATCTGTGAGGGAAGGCAAGTTATGGATCCCACATTTGAGAGAATATTGTCATTAAAGGTCCTACAGGGGAGCCCTCTGTTATGGCCTCCTCTTCTACAACACATTATCCCTAATGATAAGGCCAGCCCACCCCTATTGGTGGCTTCAGGGGATGGTAAAAACATGGCGCTTCTTCACAATTTCTGAGGGTGGAACTGAAGGAAGTTGGATGAATACTGACCTCATGGGTGCTTATCACAATTATATTTTACTTTGTTATTACATTAGATATATTAACCCTAATTACTGAAAGAAGAAATTGCTGGATTAACTGGAATGTTGTTCAACCCCAGTTAATAAATATATAAATAATGCTATGTGATCAAAAGAGCGAGTTTTCGATTTTAAGCTCATTTCCACTTATCTCGCCTTTGGGTTCTTGTCAAGTTGTTACTTTCTTTTAATCACAGATTTGCTTTCTATGAAAATATTATTTTGTGACATAGCCCCTTGTGGCATTTTGTGACAGCATTGACAATACTCTCAAAATTCCAAACATTGGCAAAAGGTTGGTAACTATGGGAAAATAAACTTACAGCCAAAAAGAAAAATTCCACGTGTAGATAAAGATGTTTGCATAAATCCAAATTAATATTTTTCATGTAAATGCCCAAGCTCCAAGAAATAAAATCTATTTTATTTCTCTGGAGCAGGGATTAACAATATAAACTGCCTCCACTTATATAAGAAAATTATTGATCTGAAAACTGATATGCCACAATTAAAAAAAATCACTGACGGTCTTTAGATAAAGAAAATCAAAATACAAGAGATAAAGTCTGCTCTATTCTAGTCATACTATCTCAACTGTATTTTTTCTGATATGTATTCAATAAGATGCCTTTTCCCTATCCTTGTTTCAGTGGTGCAATCTCACATAATTCTGAAATGGGACACATCCAAAAACTGTGAAGTAAGCACTGAAATAATAAAATTAAAACTACAGTGTATCTCCTATAATATATCAGCCCCACCCCAACTGTGTGTAATGTGAGACTGCTTACTTTGTGCCACCATCGTGCCCAATGTAAGTCTTCCTACCATCCAAAATGTTATCTATGTACTTGATCACCAAAAAAGCCCCACTCTGGTCTAGAAATTGTATGCACAAAGTAAATCAATAAAAAACCCTGTGTGACACAACATGCTAACATTTGTGACTTAGTATAATAGGCTAATTAAGCATGGTTTGAATAGTGCAACGAATGCAACGAAATTCGTATGCAACAAAATTTCATTTTAATGTATGCCAATTAGTGTACATTTAAAGTGACAATAAAGCTATTCTATTCTATTCTATTCTATTGCCATGGTGGCGCAGTAGTGCAAGCTATTTCTGCTGACTGCCAGCTGCCAGCAGTTCAAGTCTCACCGGCTTAAGGTTGACTCAGTCTTCCATCCTTCCGAGATTGGTAAACTAAGGACCCAGATTGTTGGGGACAATATGCTGACTCTCTAAACCGCCTAGAGAGGGCTATAAAGCACTGTGAAGTGGTATATAACTCTAAGTGCTATTATTATTGCTACCAAAACCAAATTCATGCTTCTTATCAAGCTATAAACCAAAGTTTACAAACCACAATGATTAAGAGAATGATCAGACAAAGATTTCAATATGTTGCTTAAAAACTGAAATATAACGATGGATGTATAATTTCAACAATACATAACTTTTAGAAATGGTTTTCTTTTATATTTAAGTATAATGAGGTAGTTTTATTTTATTTTTTTAAATGCAGACGTGTTATTTCTTTTTTCTTCTTTGGATTTGGCAGATAGTTTTTTTGTCAGATAGCTTATTATAAAATACTTCTTTTCTCTCTCTCTCTCTCTCTCTCTCTCACACACACACACACACACACACACACACACACACACTGGGTGCTTAGTCAGGTTTTCTTCACTTGTATAAAGAAATTTTCTTTAGCATTTTGCCTCAAATGTATTTTGATACCTTTCTCAGGCCAAGTTTTGCAGCAATCTCATCCACAATCTCTGCTTTTGAGTCTTCCAGGAGCTCTAGACTATTTTGTGTACCAATCTAAATAAAAAAGCAAATGGCATTAGAGAACTAATTTTTAACAGGTAGACATTTAGCATCTGAAAGGGAAAATAACATTATTCACAATAAGCAGACATCAGAAGAATGAAAATAGACAAGCTATCATATCCCATTTACAGAAGTTTCACTTATGCATATAACATGGTCTTATGTAATGTTTAGAACATGTATGCTTCCCTGCTAAAATTAAATTTTACTTCCAAGAATTAGAATAACAGAATAACAGAGTTGAAAGGGACCTTGGAGGTCTTCTAGTCCAAATCCCTGCTCAAACAAGAGACCTATACCATTCCAGACAAATGGCTTAAAAACCTCTGGTGATGGAGCACCCAGAACTTCTGAAGTTTCACTGATTAACTGTTGTAACCAAAAGGCATAGGCTGCTTCTCTGGAGATGGATAACAATGGGAGATGGATAACAATGACTTACAAGACAACAGATGAAGGATCACCAGAGAATTCATCCACTGCATTTCTTTCCAAGTGGGCTAATCAACTGATGCAAAAATATGCTCAATTAAAACCAACTCAAAGATTTCAGAATCCTGTGGTCCTCTTTATTTTCCCTGTCCATGTCCTCTTTTTAATTTCTCTTCTCCCTTTAAAAGGTTTAATTAATTTTCCTCTTTCCTCCAGATAGGTTTGATTTCCCTTTCTCCAACAACAATTAAATATCTGTTGAGTTTCTAGCTGTCCAAGCTCTGTGATCATTGCTAACTTTTATAAAAATTCTGCTTTTTAAATGACTTATATTTAAATTTTAAATGAATTCAGAATACATTCAGAGGAAAAGTATGACAAAAAAATGAATGAGAGCATATTATTTCTTTTACATGTTTTTTTCATTGCAATATCAAATTTTTTAAAAAAGACTTTTAATGCTTACAAAAGATTGATTGCAATTAACAGTGACTAGTGAATATAGATTATAATCCATAAGGATCTGTGTAACAGCTAGTTTAGTGTAGTAGTTAAGAAACTGGAAATTTGTGAGTTCTATTCTTGCCTCAGGCACAAAGCTAGCTGGGTGACCTCGGTCTGAATTACAAGGTTGTTGATCCCAAGATTGCAAAAAAGTACTTTGTTCCTTACTAACAATAAGCATCTTTTATAATACTTCTAGAATTCTGTACATAGAAAGAAATTCAAATAGAATATATGCATAAGATATATCCATAAGCCCATAAAAAGAGAGTTAAGTTACATTTTTCTTTCCTTACGTAAACTGGTAAGCATTCCTTAGTTTCTTCTCAAAGAAAAGCCCACTTTCTTAGACTTAACTTTTGCTTTTTGCAAAACCCACACTTATATTTCTTAGAGGAAAGAAGCCCTTACATTATGCAAGGTCATGGAACTTGATTTCCATTTTATAAGATGGAGAATACAAGAAACGTCTGCAGTAATACGTTATTATCTCCTTTAAAAAAAAAAAGAATAGGAAAGGAAAACACTTCTATTCTCAAAGAATACAGTATCTGCAGTTTAAAAGAAAGGTATATTCTCTTTCCCATTCTCTATGGTCTTTCAGGAAATAGGACTACTGACACAGGGATATGGATTTGTTCTAAAGTCCAACATATGGCAGAGAAACCACTTTTTTTTCCACTTACCCTTGTTTATGTAAAGTCATTTGGTGAAATGGCTGGTATAGAAATGTAATGGATGGGTGGATGGATGGATGGATGGAAGGAAGGAAATGTAACTTAGTTCCCTTTTTAATTGGACTTTTGCATCTATCTTATGCCTATCAGCAAATCCCTTTGAGTTTCTGCCTACATTCCAGAATTCAAGAATTATAACTGATGGCAATGGTAAATAATTGGCTTGGTTTCCAAATTATGATTAAAATGTGGACACAGAGTTAGGGCAGAAGTCTACATTAACTTTTCCTCTTTGACATGGTTGCTAACAATTAGGATAAACTCTACAGTTATAACTACAGTTATTGCTCCGTCTGAATCACCTTTCAGTACTCAGTGAACAATGCCATCTGGTGACTTAATATGAACTTGCAGTTTTAAAAAATCCAATGCACTCTAAGCTTACCAATTAATAGGGCTGTGCGAATCATTGAGAGGCACCCTTTAAAAAACAGCCAAATACCCTGATCCTTCTACTCAAAATGCCAAGGTACTGTCCCCTCACCAACACTGTTTTAAGGGCTTTCACATGTATGTGCATGCTCGGGCAACACTTTGGCTAGGACGACAGCCAAAGTGCTTCGTGTACAATAGCAATGGAAACGCTGTGTTGATGAACTGGGAAGATCTCAAAGTAGCAAACATCAAGGTCTGCCATTGCTGTATGACTTGCTCAATAACTGAGGCTGGCTGACTTGCCAATATCAAGGGCAAATTCTAATTTATAAAAAGAAATAGATACCTATTGCTGACTCAGTCTGAGGTACCTCTTTCTTTAGCCCAGGGGTAGGCAACCTTGGCTCTTTTATGACTCGTGGACTTCAACTCCCAGAATTCCTGAGCCAGCTTGGCTGGCTCAGGAATTCTGGGAGTTGAAGTCCACGAGTCATAAAAGAGCCAAGGTTGCCTACCCCTGCTTTAGCCTATCGTTCAGGTTTTCAGCTCAGCATGGTGTTAGACTAAAAAAAAACCCCACACTTGCGATATAAATCTTTATCTGTTACAGATCAAATGCATACTTGGCAACCTGTCTTCCTCATCCTCAACCATACAAAGTTGTGTAGGCATATTTTCAGCAGAAGCAGAAGGAAGCACGCAGAGACATTTTTTTTTCTTCAGATTACAGGAAAGCAATTTATTTACCAAGTGTAAGTTAACAGAAAGCCTACAAAGCTATGTTTCGTATGAACAAACCTAAAGAGATTGAATTCCTCATAAATGTGCAAATGCTCAGACTGAAATCAAGTTTGTTTCTTTTGAAAGCAAGACTGCTCCTAGCAAAATTCTTCTCCCCAAAATATGTCAATTAATTTTTCTACTTCAATTATCAGCAAATACAAGAGCAATGTTGTTTCCCAAGCACTCTTCTAAATGGAGCGAGTCAGGGGATTTTAAGAGTAGGGTTTGATACCTGTGGAGGTTCATAGATGGCAGAAACCTCAGCTCGAATACCCAGAGGAATGTCTTTATGTTCTGTGTACCTCCCATATAGATATCCAAAATGTTGGTTTCCTGTTTTTCTCCAGAAGTCCAAGAAACGATCTGCAATTGTATGGTTCTCAAACATGATATTATCCACGTGTCTATATTTCTGCCATTTGGGGAAAAACAAAACAAAACACAAAGCCATAATCAAACACTTCCCCTTATCATAATCAGTAGATTTTAATATAGTCACAAAACTGTCGATATTAGCCTGCTGTCTTTTAACTCAGCGTGTTTCATTTGGAGTTACGGTACGCCAAAATTCTTTTTATGAACAGCATACCATTTGATCATTCCCATTTGGCTGCTTCTGCTAATAGAAGTAGCCGAACAATGACAACTCTATCCGTAAAGGAAAAAACTTCAGCTTCTTTCTCTTCTTTTATGCTGTTAGCTAAGGAGGCTCACGAATTGCAGAAAGCTCAGCTTGCTTTCTCAGAAGTTATCTTTATGTTCTGCATACTTCCCATATAAATATCCAGAATTTCTTTTTCTATTTCTCTCTAGAAGCCCTGCTTCAACTATATGATTCTCAAAGATACTTACAAATTTGCAAGCCATCGTTCAACAATATTAAAGAATTTAGTTTACTGTGACATCTGAACGTGGCCAATTATTTCTTACACATTCATAGATCTTCACTTTCTACAATATTTTTGGATCCATAGACACATTTTGTATTGTGCGTCATTGCTTTATACAACATAACAAAATGACTGCCACACACCTGAATCGCCTGCAAAATGTTCTGTTGTAATAAAACATTTATTTAATACAAAGAGACCTCATTGAGATCCAACAAAAACAAGATATGGTTGTAACAATTCTTTATCCTGCAGCAATCCTTATTCAACAGGAGTGAGAGCACAACTTTTGAATACCACAGTTTCAAAAGGACACCTTGCATAGTGAATTGTCAGAATGCCTCTCTAAATTATACCAGTAGCAGGAGTAAATTTCCAGACATTCAATTCTAACTTTCTCTATGGGATCCCAATAATCCTCTATGGGCACTTTGACATAACAATTAAAAAAAACACCTGTCCGTGTGTCACTGTTCTCCTTTCTGTCACAGTCCTAGGCAGTTCCTAGTACTTTACACTTGTAGGATGATCCCAGCTTACAGGCTTTCTTTTTTGTTGATCTTGATGGCTTAGTACAATTCAAACAAGGGCCTGGGATTGGCCCACTTTAAAAAAAAAAAGGTCCTAAGAATATCTTCTATGCCACTGTTGGATTTAAAAGCATTCCAGGAAAATAAAACATTTGTTGAAGGTTAGCAATCTAGTGTATCAGAGCCTTCAAATATTCTTAAAAAACAAACAAACAAATAGTTCAGATAAGTGCTTCTTCTTACTATTTCTGTACCTTTTCAAAATTAACTCTTCCAGCCATCAAGCTCACGTTCCAAAAGAGTAGACTATTTGAAACTAAATGTGAACCCCAGAATAATATTATGGGGAAACTTCTCAGATTGTATAGACAGAAAATATTAAAGCTTTTGTAACCCTTAATGTATTAGTTAATGTGCCCAAGCCTAAAATGTTGGTCAGTATTAATAATGTTGAAGAAAACAAACAAGGAGGACAAATCCTGGTTAACCCATTTACCTAAACAATAGGAAAGGCTACAGGCTTCTTGGATTCAGATATGAAGACCACATTTAGATATTATTTTAAAAATGTATTTTTTTAATTCTAGATTAATCATGAAAAAGCTTCATACTGTCTGGTCATCCTGAATTGGCTCCTTCTGTAAATAAGCACGAATAAACAAAGACAAACAGCTGAGACTCTATCCTTGCAATCCTTAAGATGTATCCATAATGAGGCAATACGTTTATAGATGCGGTCTATTTCAGAACAGGAATGGGTTTGGCATCTTTTCGGTAACTTTTGATTGAAACATGTCTTTGCTCCAATAGGTTTGGCCTTGCTAATTATAGTTCATAAATTTAAGTCTCTGTGGGACATTGCAGGGCTTCAAAATTACAAAGTGTTCTGTTATTGCTATAGGGTCCTGAAAATGCTACACAAGTTATTAAACAAGGATCTATAAAAAAACTCAACCCTGCCTTTTGCTTATCTAACATTGCAGGAAAACAGTGAATAAGGCAATATAGTGGCCCAGCTTAATGCATCTTCACAAAATCCACTGCTGTTACATAACTGAAATTTGTGGTGGTGGTCTTTCACTTCGTTTAACAAAATAACAAGAGTTGGAATTTAAAATTGCTGTGATTTCTCATATACATGGCAGATTTCCTCCATTTATAAGGAATCTATCAGATAAACATATTGCTTTATCCTCCTATATGAGTGCTAACAGTTGGTCACCAACCAGCTATCAAAACACTGTCCAAACTCTCCTGGCTATTCCTTCCCAAAAGAAACAACATAAGCAAGAACTTTCTCTGCTGCCTTGAAAAGCTAGCTTTCATTTTGGGTAATACTGAACTTACCTGCCTGTTGAGTGTGATAGCACTTGGCTGGCACTTGGTACAAATTCCTTCTGGCCATGGAGGATGCCCCTCACATCCAGATTTAATCTTGCAGCTAATGTTTTCAAGAGCAACAAACTTTCCCCTAAACAAAAGAAGAAACATGCTGAATATCTAAAAAAAAATACCCAATAAACACACAGTAGACATCCTGCCAGAAGATGCCATCAGACTCTACAACTATATGTAGTCTGCATGTAACTCCTTAATCCTCATTGTAAACTAGGGGGAAAAAACAGCAATTCAATACAGAATCCAACCTGCCTCTTCTCTCATTTACACTGGTGTTAGCAAACATATCAAGTATGCAAATAACTGCTAACACAGTGTGATCAACATAGAAACTGTAAACATGAGAAACATCAGTTGCAGATTCACAGCATAATAAAAATAAAGATGTTTAACATTTGCTATCTTCTTAGGCATGGAATACTTTTTATGAGAAATCTCCATAAAAAGAAATGTGCGTGAGAGATTAATGGAAAGATTGTTTTTTCTAGGACAGTTTTTTTTTATTGTGACCTCTGTGGATAATATGACAAAACTATAGGTTTGTCACCCCCTTTAAAAATGTCTTCGCTGCACCAATGTATAGATCAGTTTAAGTTCAACAGCCAAGGGAAAAAAATAAAATTCATCTCACCCCCAATATAATAAACTAATTTAAAAATGATTGTTCCTATTTGAAGCCAATTTGTTTCTGCCCTATAAAGAGTTTTCTATTTTTTTCAGATTTTGCCATCTATGCGATCTTTGAACTCCCCTGCAGTAGGTACAAAGTTTCTTACTTATCTGCACCTCCGGTCAGTTTCCTGATGTAGGCATGGAATGACATATGCTTCACAGGAGGTTCCAGATGGTTTAAATAATCCTCATCAAAAGGCTGCCAAGCACCCACATACACAAAGGAAAACCAGGTCAGACACCTGCTTGATAATACACCGATCACTGTACAAATGGATCTTTTAGTCTGAATACTCTGCTGGTGTTCAATGTGGAAATAATTAGATAACGTTGTGCTCTTTTTCCACAGCAGTTACTATTCTGACAGTAATAGTGGGGCCCTTTCTTCTCCCTCCCCCGCATGTTAAGACATTTTATTCTTCTACAAAATAGCTTTAGAAACCCAACCTGTGGATGGGTGTAATGGATGTAATATTCTTGGGGTTTTTTTTTTTAGCTTACAGAACTAAAAACAAAGCCAGAGAATTCTGGCAGAGGTTACCTAGCTAACTGAAGAATCTTTGCACAACTGAAAATGACTAAAAGGTTTTTATAATATAAGTCATTAATAAAAACAGTGCAGGATATAAGCATATTCCCAAATAAGCAACTTTCAGTTGTAGCTTTTAAAAAGGAAAGAATCCACTTCCAATATAAGTGAAAAATACCAACTGCATATGCTTTCTTGAAACTTGTAACATGAAACAGTATATCCTGTTAAAACCACTATTGCAAAAAGCCAGATGTCAAAAAAGAGATAAATCCAGGTTTTGATTTGACAGGTATATCCAAGGGTCCAATTCTGCCTCTTTAACCATTATCAGTACAGCTAGGATACATTAAAGTTTCAACAACATTCTCTCTATTGATGCCATTAAAGCAACTGTATACATCAAGAAAACTTTTACCTTGTAAAGTATTACTATAATAGCTTTCATTTATCTGCTTACCTCTAAAGGTACACAATGTACACATTTACCCAATGGACCATGTCGACATCTGTGTAAAGAGAACATTAGCAGCTAAAGTTACTGGCAAAACCAGAAAAGCACTCTATTTCGTAAAGCTTTACAGATTAATACCTAATACAGATTAATAAATTAATATGAGCCCAACGGATTGGAATTTCCATTGCTAAGCAGTCATTAAGCAAAACATCATATGACCACAGCACTTAGCAATAGCAGTTCCAATGTTGCAGTTGCTCCACCTGCCTATCTACCCACCATGTCTGTCCTTGTGGTCACCCCTGGCAGTCTCAGCCCTGCTATCCCAGCTGATCTTCACCATCTTCTTCTGCTTCTCCCTGCTCCTGACAAGGTCTTCAGGAAGGTCTCACGCAGCCAGCAGCTGCCTTCCAAAGGGCCAGGCCAGGCATACCCAGTCAACAGAAGAAGTCAACTGAGGTCAGCTGGGGGTGGTAGAGAGGGGCATCTGAATGCAGGGCAGGGATGCAGAGAGCAGCAGATGGCCAAAAGGAGAGAGATGGGGAGGAGACAGGTGAATAAGTGAAGTTGAAGCACACCTTCTGGTCCTAAATGTGAACAGACTGTCAAGCATCTGAATTTTGATCATGTAACCACCAGAGCATTTCAATGGTTGTAATGTCAAGGACCAATTGTAAATACCATTCATTCAGCACTGTCATAACTTCAAACAGTTGCTGAATGAATCGTCGTTAAGCAAGGACTACCTGTACTGATCACAGATGAACAAATCTGTTGGTTAAACACACATTAGCTAAGTATTACTGGGCTGACTGCTAACTACACTGAAAATGTTCCCTAATTTCAGAAATGTAATTATGGAGAGTGCTGATAAGCTACAATGCTATTTTTATTAATAATGGAATAGATAGACAGATTGGTTATACTGTTGCAGAAAAGGTCCAGAGCAGCATCTTCCATTTCCATCTATTTAAGGAGGCAATATACTGTTATTCAATATTTTTAAAATCTTTCATTTATTCAACATTTATTTTAACAGCAGGTCTTTCAGAACTACTTTCTTTCTCTGCTATTGACATTTTCTTCATAAAAGTTAATGTGTTCTTAGCAACTTTCACTATACATACAAAGTCAAGCATACATTCAACAAAGAGATTTTTTTGCCTATGATGTTTTCATGAGCACTTTTTTTAAAATCACACAACTGCCAACAATACTGCACTATTCAGAGGTTTTGGTTTTTGATCTTCACTGAAGCAATCATTCCAATACATGGAAAACTACATAAAGGGGCAATGTAGACCTATCTAACCTTAAAAGAAATAAAAGATTCTAAAAGTTTAAATCAGATTCTTATAATAGTTACTATTAATACAGGTCTACTCTAAAATTTATAGTTATACTCCAAAAGTAACCATCAGGTGGTCATAACGCCATTTCCTCAGACAGACACCAACTACTACAATATTCTCAGTGTACCCTGTAAGAATAATACATTTTGTATCTTTTTAAAGATTCCAGCTAGGAACAAAATGGTTATCGAGAGCAATTCTGAGCTTCTCAATATATCTGAGAAATACTTAGGCATGCATCATCTCTGAAGTTTTACAGATGTAAAAGATTTAGAAGATAAAACCAAACAAACTATCTACAATCATGTCCATACCTTCTGGATATAACTTCTCCTACTAGCTTAACAACAAAATATCTATGCAGCCTTTCTGTAATTCAGTGTTATTATTTTTCTCTGGCTTACTTATAGAAGCTCAAGCATTTCAAAACTACAATAATTAGAAGGACATGTAGACTACCTTAGATTCCAAAATATTTTTTACTTAAGTGTACTGGCTGTAATATTATGACATGAATAAGAAATTTAGCATTAATAAATTATCAATTTTGCTCTTGCCCAGGGATAGACCCACCCTATATTTGCTAGTGACAATTTCAAATCTTTCATGTTGTTGATGTTTGGGATGCACAATTCTAAGCATGCTTTAAATGTTCAATTATATTGGAAACTTTCTTCAAACTAATCAGCCGTCTAGTATCATCATCAGAAAGACCCAGAAGGCTTGCAGTAGATGACTCAGTGAGAGCTACGTCCTATGTTTACAGCCTAAAAATATTGCAGTTGCCACTTCAGAAGCTTCTTCCCCATAATTCATAATGTTAAATTAAGGGCTTCTATGCTTTAGTTGACTAAAGATTTCTCATCCTTTGCTGCTGTTACTAGAAATCCAGTTAGTTCAACCACAATGATTAAATTCAAGACAGACAGGGCTTTTACTGAGAATAATACTGGTATTGTATTTAATGAAAGCAAACCAAGCCTATACTATGTGCTTACAGCTCTCTTGCACCATTTTAATTTGGCTAAAGTAAGAGCTACTCCATATTTTACCCAGACTTTGCTGAAATTATTCATGCCTAATATTATTACATCTAGAGTATAGAGTATAAAGGCATATGCCAAATTCTGGCACTCCCAAGATTCTAAATGGAAACAAATGGATTATTACTCAAGTAGTAAGCTACAATATTATTTCATTATGTGCTTTTAACAAATGATTACTAAGGTGCACTTCATTCTACTAAGCTCTAAATGGTTTGAGGATCAAGTAAGTCTTACAACAATTAACATTGCTCAGATCTTTTCAATAGCTGTCAGTGTTCTTTGCTAACAAGAATAATGTGCTTTTTTTTTTTAAAAGGAATAGGATTACAAAACTATCTGAGGCTATTTTCTGTGAGAATTTCAGAGAAGCTATTTAGATTACTGAACATATAGCCATGTTCATTACCATACAAAGACAAAATTTCTACCAAAATAGTATAAGGCTGACTTTCCTAGAAAAGCCAGTACCATTTTTTCCCGTGGCCTGTTCTGAAGATCAATACATTAATTTTCTTTCTAAAGAAAGAGTCCCTTTTTGAGTTGTTCCATATAAGTGGTGTTGAAATACGTAGCATCTTTAGCTATTATCAACCCATCTCAGAGAACTAAATTGTGGGAAAGTGCTTCAACACGAATTGACATGGGATTACTTTACTTTACTTTGAGAATGGGTAATAGAGAAGGAAAACAGGAAACATACAGTAAACTGTGAGAAATTTTGTGGAATAAGAAAAAACAATGATATTTACAATTGCTGGTCTCTGCTTCTATAAATTTTCCCATCCTGTTTTATTAGGTATTGATCAATTTCATCTTCTACCACCTGGGGAACACCTAGCGGACGTGTTCCTTGAAAAAATGAGGTATCCATGTTCTCGGAGGAAGAGCCAGCTGCACTTGATGGAAAAAGAAATAGCATATCTCCATGCCTGCAAAAGCAAAAAAACAAAAATATGAGGAAAATGGCAGAACTGTTACAGAATGGTAAGTTTCAGAATGAAATTCAACAGCATCAAACTATTTTAATTTGGAAGTGCTTAGGGGGATTTTAGGTGGACACCCCACAGGATTGGTAATTGTACAGATTATAGATTTCATTACACCATTTTTTCCCCCTTTACAGAAAGGAGCGAGATTAAGCAGCAGCATTCTATGGAAAAATTGAGACAATCTTCTCTGAATTCTCCTTTCTTCTTCCAAGCTGTCAGGGTCACCTTCCAAACTATTCTGGATGGTTCCTCAACTTTCTGAAACAGCTTTTCAGGAAGCTACAGCCATAATCAATAAACAATCTCTTGCAACTAACTTTCCTGTGAGCAGTATTTAGTTCAAAGGAAAACTGGATCTAAGCCCAAAGTGTACTGGGCCTACACCAGAGCTATCTTATGACTATTTACTTGTAAGTAAGTTTCCCTGTGTTCAATTGAAGTTATTCTGAGATAAATGCACAGAGGACTGCCGTTTAAGAACTTTCCAGTTTTTACATCATTTCTTTTTTATCTCATGACAAATAATGCTGGCTCTTTTGAAGCTGCATTTTTCTGAGATGTCATTTCCCAAAGAGCCATTTTTTATAATGGTAGCAAAGGACTACCACCTCCCCATCCTGTTCAAGATAAGAAGAGGCCAAGAAAAAAATAAAGTTCTAAACAGCCTGAGATTTCTGCCTCCTTTTTCCTACTACAATTATTGGCAAGTTGCCAAACACTAGTAGACTAAGGATGATTCACAAAGGAAATGATGAGTAACCTATTCTATCAAGGTTAGCTTTTCTTCTCAGAACAGTAACATCAAAGGTTGACAGAGAAACCAGTTAATTGCCTGCTCCCAATAAAAAGTACCTTCAAGGGAACTGGAGCAGTCTTTTCTTTTTACGTTTCACAGAAAAAAAAGTGAGGCGGTTTTGCTTCAATTGGCATTTGGGAATTAAAACATGCTATGCCATATTTTAATAGCTGTTGTTTTAATTGTAGTAATGTACCATCAAAATTGAGTGAGCAATATATATGAATGTGTTAAGTACGCACAGCATGTATAGGTAGCCCCTGAGTTACATCTCCAATTGGGAATGGAATTGCCATTGCTAAATGATGCAGTTGTAAAATATGATATCACCTGATTGCATCACTCGATAACCAGAAATCCTCGCAGCTGGTTGTTGTTATAACCCAGAGGTGTGGGTCATTAAGCAGGAAGCAGAGGGAGTCCCAGGTAAAGAGTGCAGAGGTGTTGCAGGGAGTGGGAGAGACCCTGAGAAGCTCAGCACAGGTCATGCACAATTGGAGGGAGTGGGTGAACGTGAATGATGAAGGCCAGGGAAAGAGAACATAGGGTTCATGTGTATGTGCAACTGTGTATGTGCAACTGCCGGGAGAATGAGGAAAAAGGGTGATGGGTACATGCAATCACGGGGAGGACATTGAAAGACAACATGGTGTATATGCATGCATGTGTGCACAGTGACATCTTAGAAAGGGCATGAGGGTGAATGCGTTCATGTGAGCACTGGGAGACTGAGCTAGAGGGGGCTGGGTGCATGCAAATGAAAGGAGGAAGAAGGGTGTGGTGCGTGCAAGCTAAAAAGACTAAGGTGTGGTATGTGTGTGTGGGGAGAAAAACTTGACTTTGCTTGTGAGAAGTCTGCAGGGAAATTGACAAATGGCAATCATGCGACTGCGGGATGCCGCAGCCAGTCATAAGTGCAAGCTGGTTGCTAAATGCTCAAATTCTGTTGCCATAACCAGAGCCAGAACTTTGAGGACCAGTTGGTTATTAAACAAATGGCTGTTAACTCAAAGACTACCTGTATTTACCTCAGATAGATTCTATAGGTCTTTATAATAAAATCCATGCAGCGTATGTATTTATGATAAAGACCCACCAAAGCCTTTTGAAGTTTCAGACTATAGAAAAAGTGTGACTGCTGCTAGGTTTTTTTTTCTATCATAGTGGAAGAAATGAGGATGCTAAATGTGATCCAACAAATATGCTCTTGCTGAAATGAGGAGTAGATGCTACAATGACTATGAAGTTACATTTTACTGTCATAGTATACCAGTTTGACAAAAGCAACATTATTCCAAAAGAAAGCATAATTTAATAGACCGCTCCCTAGTTATAAAAATGAAACAGAATAAGATATTTAATCTAAAGTAAAAAGCAAGAACAATTATGATTATCCTTTCTTTTCCCTGAAACATACAATGAATCAGCCAAGAAGAAAGCAAATAGTCACTTTTTTGAGAGATGGGTGGCTATATAAATTTGTTTGATATGACAGACAGATAGATGCCATATGTAGGCCTATGTAATCTATTTGAGTTTAAAATTGTTTTCTCTTCTATCAATACTGTGCTTGACATATTCAAAAACTCTTAAACTTTTAAAGAACAATTTACTTCCTGAAAAACTATTTATCTACCTAACCATGCTTACTTATTTGTGTTAAGTGAAATACATATGCAGCTATCCTGAAAAGGTAATTTTGTTTTGGAGTCCAACCTGTTCTAGATGGAGTTACTCTCTCCTAGTAGTAAAATAAACAAATCCCAAGTAATCCACAACATATCTGGGTACTTCATATTTTTGCAAGATGGCAAATCAATCGAATCTGTCTCAGCTGCACCAATGGAAATAAAAAGGACCTTTGTGATGGAGCCATCTCCCTCCTGGTTCCTTCAGACAGAGAGGTAAGGTATGAGTAGCAAGATTCAAAGGTGCTTCTTTAAAGGAAAGCAAGATACTATCACTGTGGTATGTCTCCTCTTAAAGAAGCCATCTCTTGATCCAGCATGGTGGAAAACCACTGCTCAATCTCCAAATTCTCCTTTTTGGAGAACACTATAGAAAAGATCATCAGTTCAGAATTCAGCCTTCAGTCAAGATTCAGATTTAGACATGGGAGAGAAGCAGCGCTAATAGCTCTGGTGAAGACTTTCATTTGGACCTAGAAAGTTGGAGTGTGCCTCTCTTGATCCTTATGGACCTCTCAATGGCTTCTGAAATCATTAACCATAGTGGCTTACTAGACCACTGACAGGAGGCAGAAATTGGGGGTCTTACTTTTCAGTGGCTCTCCTCCTATTTTCTGGCCAGGTCCAGTCAACAGTGGAACAGCAGGAACAATCAAGCCCAGTGGCTGCTCCAGTATAGGAGCGCCAAAGCTTGGTTCATTTTGCATTGCTTTTTAACATCTGAAGTAAGTTTCTACTTACAATGTCTATTTGCTGAGGCTGGGTTTGCCTACATGTATTACTGGATCACATTCAGCTGATGGGAGAGGTTATCCATCAGTTTGGGATGAAATACTATCAATTCATTGTTTAAACCTCACTTGTGTATCACTTTCTAACCTAAAGCCAAGAGGTTGTGAGGGTCTGGGTGGCTAGACAGAAACCTAAATCCTAGCAATATGTACTTACTAGTTGTTGAGAAATACCTTGGTTCTAAGATGGCCTCACTATAGTCTTCGGACAGGGGTTGTCTGCAGCTTGTGGGTATTTGTAGACTCACTGCTCTTGCTGGAGCATCAGATGGACACTATAACTGGGAGACATTGCAACCCTGCTTGGACCTAGAAGCCCTGGTAAGAGTAACTCATGCTCTTTGGAACCATGTTGGGATTGTATGTGTTCTAAGGGGGTGCTGCCATTGATGATTATTCAGAAATTGATAAGAGTGCAGCAGTCAAAATGACAACAGGTGAGAATCATTATGAAAGTATAATTCTATGCTCTGCAGCATAGATTGCTAATAGGTTTCTGAAACCAATTAAAATGCTGCTTTTAACCTATAAAGCTCTATATGGGTTTGTTCCAGGGTACCTTAGAAACCATTTCCTCCTGGCAGAATTTGCTGGTTCCTGAATTCAAAGGGGGAGGGGAAGGTTCAAGGTCCCACTCTTATGAGAATACAAAGGGTCATAGGCCCCAAAGAAATGCTTTTCACAGATCCAAATCCCGGAACACTTTGCCCTTGGAAGTACACCTGGTACTCTCCCTCATAGTCTTTTGCAAAGCAATGGCATTTAGGGATTGGTGGTGTTTACTTGTTTGATGATTGGGCAGCACTGCATATTATGAGTTTTTATTTTCCTGTTGCTTGTTAGTATTTTGATTGGATATATATATATATATAATGCAATATCAAAATCATTTTAGCCAGATAGCATAACAATACATAAAAGAAATAATACCCAGCAAATATAAAGGGACCACACTACTTGTCAAAACACAATTGCAATCCACTTCAGTCCAAGAGTGGCCCCAATATTTTACTGAATAACTTACTTGATCTTCAGTAAGTTGAGAGATTTATTAGGAGAGGATGTGATCTCACCAGTCCTGTTTCTATTGATGTACACAGAAAATCCATTATTTCTGAAGCCAAATTCTTTTGCAACCTATACAAATAAATTAATTTGTTGATAGAAATCAAGATAAAAAGCATCTCATTCTGGCTGTAAATATTACAAAAGTGTGAACATAATTTATCATACTTTATAATAGTTAACTCAAAGAATCTACATTTGAATTATTTGTTCAGTTAAATTAAGGCTCTATAAGGATGGATTTTAGAAACTAATCCTGACTGCTAATGTTAATGATTAACTATATTTAATCCATTGTGGCAGAAGACATATTGCTTCAACCAGATTAAGCAAATCACCAGCTGAAACTAGTTGAAAAGGGGGGCAAACAAACCAAACATCTTTCAATATTTTCTCCTCTATAGTTTAATACAGAAGGAAATTAGTAAGAACATTCACTGCTTCACAATATATCTAAATACAGTAACAAAATTTCATTAAAACTAACAAGGTATTTATAAATTGACATTCAAATAAGTGACATTAAATGGAAATATGGCTGTCAATATACTTTTGACATTTATTCTCTGCAGAAACTCATCTGGCTCTTTTGCATAAATGTACTCCTTCTATTTTAGGATTCAACAACTCCTAGATAGCATGGGCAGCCTAAGCAAATTTATGCTTGCCATAATGCTATCCACACACAACAGGGATGAAAATTTTAAACAGAACATGGAGTTCAGGACTCAACACCATGGGTTAGGGGAAGTGCCTTTTCTACATCACAAGAACATGGGCTCTTCCTCACTGTATACATTTTCAGATTCTCAGGGATCAACTAAAACTTCATGGTTTTCCTATTGCTTCTGATGCTTAATATAGATTCAGGAGGAACCTTGTTAGTAAAGCCATAAGTATTTCAGTTTTAAGTTATAACTACACTGTGATTTTAAGCTATTTTATTGAAATGAACATGGCCATTATTTTGACAGTAGTGCTTAAAAGTTATGGTTAAAAGTATAATTACTTTTTCAATAAAAAAATGTTGGTATATTCTGTATTGGTTACTTACATTCTTAAATAAGCTGTCAATTTTTTTTCTTTTTAATATTTATTTGGTTCAGTTACAAAGCCTGTTTTCACCTTGCTTGCTGATTTAATATGGTGAAACCATCAATGCATGATGTGACAAGGGGTAGGTTGTTCAGCCATTTTTCAGAAAGCCTATTTTCAGCTCTCAGTGAGTGACTGGCCTACAGATACCCTGTTGGCTTCTGTGCCTAAGGGAGGATTAGAATCAGAGTCTCACTGCACTTAATCCAGTAGCTTAACCAGTTATACAACACTGGCTTTCACTACATAAGTAGTCAATAATTACAATGATAATATAAACTGTGTTTCCCCAAAACTTAGACCCAACCCGATAGTAAGCCGTAGCTTGATTTTGGGGGGTGGGCTTAATATAAGCCCTACTCCAAAACTAAGCCCTAGTTTTGGGATGAGGCACACCCCTAAAATTCAAGCTAGGACAGGGGTGTGAAAGCTGCCCCATGTGTCCCACATCCACTTACCTTACTGGTAGGACCACCGCAGCCAGGCCTCCCACGCCCCGACACCTGTCGCGCTGCTACTTGACTTCTTCTGTGGCTGCTTGCCGCCACTTGTGGCCGGCCGCCATGTGGCGCATTGTGCTGTTGCCGTTCCTCCTGGCAGGACGCCACATGGAGCTTCGGGCCACTTCAGCTACTTGCGCAGCACTTTAGGCTGCTTCTGTTGCTCGTGGCAGGAAGGCACGTGGCTCTTCGGGCCATAAACGGCCCAAAGCGTCACATGGCCTCCTGCCGCGAGCAACAGAAGTGGCCCAAAGTGCTGCGCAAGTAACTGAAGCAGCCCGAAGCGCGTGAGCAACAGAAGCGGCCCAAAGCGCTGCGCAAGGAGCGGAGGTGGCTCAAAGCTCCATGTGGCATCCTGCCGGGAGAAGTGGCAACGGCGCCATGTGCCACATGGCGTCCAGCCACAGGTGGCAGCAAGCGGCCACAGAAGTCAAGCAGCGGCATGATAGGTGTCAGGGCGTGGGAGGCCTGGCTGCGGTGGTCCTAAGGTAAGACATTCTCCGAAATTAAGACCTAGTGCCTCTTTTGGAGGCAAAAACAATATAAGACCGGGTCTTAATTTCGGGGAAACATGGTAGGTCTATCTGTATATTCCTCAGAATTAGGAATTAAATTCTGCAGAATGTAATATAATCCTATTCCTACTATATTTGCTTCTGAGTGCAGATGGGGGTTTTGCATGACAATTGTAGAATGTTAAAGGTATAAATTAACATGGCAATTCTGAACAATTCTGTAATAATTCTTTCTCATTCTGCTCAATTTACCTGTATTAATCCTACTGGTCTCAACATGGAGACTAACTAAATGTTTGCTCTGCAACATTTGAGTGGCAGATGCTGTGATTCATCACACCAGATCCTTTCCCATCAAACATTTTAAAACAATCATTTTTCACAGAAATATATTGCAATGTATCAGGACAAGATCAAAGTAGAGCCTAACACCATATTTTCTAGAATTCATACTACAATTTAACACTGCATTCAGATGTAGGCTCCATAAGGTGGCCCCTCCCAACCTATTGTTTTGCAATTTTATCTGATGAAGTTATTGAGAGAGATACACACTAGTTGGTCAACCTGATTTGGCCTAATAAAGGCAGTGTCAATAGAGACTCTGGAATTCCTTTGCTCTCTTTGAATTCAGCTAAAGCTTCAGCGAAAATTCAAACATTGATGTTAATTCTGTATTACCAAAAGTTTATGTGTAAAAACTAAACAGTATGGATGCATGGGCTGGCTTATTCAATCAATGTGAGATGAACTTCTATTACTATCTTAGGAAAACTCAAGGAATATGTCAAAACAGAATACCTTTTTCAGAAATGTTGCAGCAGTTTCTCGTTTTGTTGCAGTAATACGTTTCACTCCTTCTGGTGACTGGACACGGATTATCTATAAGGAATTTTAGAGATTTGGGAAAAGGTTAAATAAAAAGCACTTAAAAATATCCACGAATTGTTCATGATTAAGGCAAAAAAAAAAGATGATATCTAAACTTTGACTCTAGAATATGTGAGAGATGTAACATTTCATCAATTTTATTTTTAACATATAAAAATTAGTTTGTCAAAAATGCATAGCTAGCAGAAGTAATGAAATTAGTAGTAAAGTAAAATCCATTTTCACTTAGCAATAAATAATATTAGAAAAACATACAATGATTTTTAAGTTTTTAAGTTTCAAATTGCAGAGGTTTAATTCAGGCCTATAAAGAAAATTCATCAACTTTTCATGTTAAAAAAATTATATCATGTTGCATCATTAATTAGCATACTTCATTTTAAAGGAAAATTGTCATCCATCTTCATTAAAATGAAAAGTCACACCAATCCTGTGGGATGCACAGGGATACAGGAAGAATAGCAGCTATTTACTTAAGAAATCAAGCTTAACTGTGATAAGAGGCTAACTTGTTTTTGTGTTTAACACTAAACACTGTATCTATCATTTTGTGGACTTTAAAAAGATAGATAAGCTGCATTAATGTGCACATCCCTATATTATTTGATATGCCACTGCTCAGAGTTCAAATCTGTACTTGAAAGATATAGGGATGTGGGTCTATACATATGTTGTTCATAGTATGTTTAGGTGTGTGTCATGTATGTGTTTCACTTTGAGAGCGGGCAACTAAATTTCATTTTTGATGTGTGCCATCGTGCCCACAGTATAAAAATGACAATAAAGATTATCTTATCTTATCTTATGTAAGGGCAGATTTAACAGATTAATTGGTGCTAATTTCATTGCAATGTAAGAATTAAACATGATGGAAATTTACACATACTAATGTCCTATAAAATGTTTGAAACACTTTTTAACATAGTAGCTTTCCAATACTTGCTTCCAGAAAAATGCAATAATGCAAAGAAGCAATTCTATACTGGCTTTCTTGATAATTCTATTACAGTAAGCATAGGTAATTTCAGATTGAATAAGAATTGGATCTGACTACACAGCACCATTGTGAAACCATTCTGTTTTTAAAAAGTAAAGATGTTCTTTTGTTCAGCTCAACTCCTTTCCCTTAAAGTGCTGATTCCATAATTCCACCTAGGATGATTCCACCTGGAGACACAGCTAAATGACTAATCCTAGAACCGTGCCAAACCATTAATTATCTTCTTGAACAATGTCCAAATCTTAAAATCTCTTTAAAACTATATAATGTATGTGCACACACATACTTTCTATTGGGTACAAATTTCAAGAGGAAGCTGTATTTTTTAAAATAGGAACATTTAAAAGTTTGATGTAGTAATTAAAAAAAAACTTTAAAGAAAAGCTGATAGGCTGCCATTTCCAGATGTGGATGTGCAGATAATTACCAACTGGTGCCTTAGCAAATATTCCATGGTTAGATACTGCTTTATACTTTATACTCATTTATAAGCTTGAATTTTGCAACAGTGATATTTTGGAACTGTGATAAGCAGTAAAATTACTTTTTTTCTTAAAATTTGGAGACAAATAGCAAATAGCATTTATTTAAAAACTGTATTATCTCCTATAGCTCTATTATGAAATGCGTAATAGTCCATTACATATTTATGTAATAATACATACCATGATTGGCAGTTTAAAATAAATTTTATTAAAATAAATAAAAATAAAATGTTAGTATAAACTTGAGTAATAAAGAAATCAGATATAATTTGAATTAATGTATAAGTGGCTTAAGTGATACCACATGGACACCCTATTTTAAAAGCAAACTAAACATTCTATAAGGCACTACAGTATATCAACACACTGATTAAACTTAAAAATAGATTTTAAATTGAGCTGATTCATATTATAGTCCAGCTTCTGATATGGAAGGGTACAGATTACCTGCCAAAATTACTCAAGTTGCCTGCAATTTGCTTGCAATTTGCTTGCAATTTGCTATATATAACTAATTTTATCATGTGACCAAATACAATGTAGCCAATGCTAATACCAAAGATACTGACAAGCCATTAATATAAAACAATGCAAATTGATCTAACTTTATTAAAACTTGTGCTGTTCAATTTTATGAAGTATTATATAAATTTAGCTGCCAAAAGAGAATTTTACTTTGGGTTAGTTCTGCTATTCATAACATATATTTTTTTCTATTTCTTTATTAAAATAAAATCTGATAGAAAGAAAAGATGGAAGTGTAACATGCTTTTAACAGTGGTAAGACCTTACTCTTCAGTAAGCCTTAACTAAACTTTCTCACTTATCATAAAGGACAGGAAAGAGTTTTTCACCTCTGCCAATTCAAATAAGGAAAACGTTGTAGATACTTCTTAAATGCTGTTAATATAAAGCAAGTTTTGAAGTACTTCTAGCATAGTCAAAGCTTTACTTATTTACCCAGTAGTTTCCCCTGTCTGGCATGCAAACTAATACAATAATTAAGGGAATGTGGGCAGGAAGTCATATATCCTATGGATGTAGCTATCATAAGTTATTGCAAGTAATAATATTGAGCCTAGATCCAAAATAATTAGGGATTGAAAGGAAAAAAAATTCAGGTAGAGTTACAGAAACTTTGTTAGCTTTTCCAAGTTGTTGTTGCCTTCTAGATGTATAAGACTACAACTCCTATGGACGTAATATCTTGGGATTATAGAAATAGTCCAGTATTTCAAGACAAAAATCTTTAGAGATAGATTCTTATTTTATGTATCACGCCTTTGTATCAAATCATCAGCTTTTAATTTTTGAACTCTTGGCATATCCTGCCCTAAAGAGAGAGCACAAATGTTAGTCAATTTACTGGACATATCCATGCTACCAGACTTGTATTAATTTTCTTCAGAGAACTTGGGGGGATTTTGCTTTTGAAAAATTGTTCATTTCTGATCCATCTTGCCCAGTCACGCTACTTTTGAGGGGAGGGGGAAAAAAAAATATTACGAAACTGGCTCAGAGCTCTGATGGGCTGAGTTCTTCCGTCTGGAAAGAAACCATACATTTTAACCCTCAATGAAAGTGGGGGCCCTGTCTCCAGTTGCAGCAGCTCCCGCGGGTGGGTGGCCCAATAGACTGATTTCCCACTCCAGGGCCCCCCCACTTCAGGGAGCTCCCCGCGATCCCCCTGCTCTGCCTCAAACCTGGCAAGGAGACGGGACAGGAAAAATAAACCCCGCCGCGGGCTGGTGCTTCCCACTCCACAGGAAAGCCCAGAGCTGTCAGCCCCCAGCCCGGCGGAGGCGCTGGGGGAGCTCTGAGCGCGGCGCCCCCCCGCCTCCCAATGACAAAAGACCGGATGGAGGGGACCCTCGGGCTGGTGGAAGAAAGGAGGGAGCTCCTCTCCTTCCCTCCCCGGCCTCGTCCCCTCAACGTACCGCCCCCGGCAAGCCGAACTTACAATGGTCTCCGCCATATCCTTGCCGCCGTTCCGACCCTCGTCCTGCCCCGGCTCCGGCAGCTCCGCCCCTTACCCGCCCTCGCTGCTGCTCGTGCGCCGCCAATACTGCCGCGTCACCGTTCCCGCCTGGTAGCGCAGGAGAAGCAACAAGGTTCCGGGTAGAAAAGGTCCGCCCCGAAGAGGACGCAAGCCTTCATCACTCTCTCTCCCTCTCTCTTTCTCGCTCTCTTTCCTTTCCCGTTCCCATTCGCTGGCTCCGCCTAGTGGCTTCTGGTTGTCCGAGAGATTTTATTTTATTTTATTTTATTTTATTTTTCCCGTGGGGTCCGGGCCGGAGGCGCGTCTCTGCACGAAAAGATCGGGAAGGGAGCAGCCTAGCTCTTACGGCACAAAAAAGACTTACTTAGTTTTAGTCTTAATCTGTGGTTAAGAAAACCAAATCTCGCACTTCCCAAACTTTTAGTGTCCACAAAGTTGCTGCAAAAGGGTGTCTGAGGAAAACTACTTTCTACTCAAAACGCATTCTCTGTGTACGGAGAAGTGATCTTACTTTGAAATAATTATAATTTGAATATCGGATTAAAAGTTGTTTTTTTTTTTACTTTGACGTGGTTTGTTGAATAAGCCACAACCAAGACAAACCATGTTTTGTCATATTACGGAGATCAATCCTTCCTCTTAAGGTTGTCAGAGTTAGTTATTTTACTAAGCCATATTATATTTTTATTCTGTTGTGATGAATGAATTTAGCCTTTGTAGCTTGTGACTGGTTTATGACTCATGTTTATGATTCAGGATGTAGTGTGAACCTAGCTAATATGTAGAATGTCCACAAACTGATTAAAACAAAAGGTTAATGTGATGCATGAGCCTGGCTACTTTAATTTCAGATCTCCTGGATACTTTTAGCAGCCTTTGAAAATGAAGTTATGTCACATCTAGATAGAATTATTTAAAATTTAGATTGTTTTCTGTTTGTGTATGAGTAGAGCTGCTGAATTAATAAGAGAAATATAGTTATGTAGTCAACATTACTTTGTGTATAGCTTGCTATATGTATTTAGGTAAGCCATAGTATGTTTAATCAGAATCATTGTATAAAACACAAATAAGCATCATAAGCCATTGTTTGCATGTCACTATGGCTGGATTCACATTGCATATTAAGCCCAAAATGAAAAAAACCCACATGTGATAGGTGAATGTTAATAACTATTATTGGGATCAAAGCATGCATTTGCAACACACTGTCATTCTAACAAATAATTGAATATTGACCCAAATCATTTTTCAAACTATTCTTTGGAATATTAACATTTGTGATGTACAGTAGTACATTGTAACTGAATCATAAAATCTAATACAATTTCTCTAAGCAATTTTACAACAATTGGTATATAATACAGGCAACTCATATATTGCAAAAAGTAGTTGCAGACTAATCAAACTGATCTAAATGTGCTTAAATTACCTGTTGGTATTGGTTCCTCTCAGCAAAAGTTTAGCAGATTCAGGGTTGTGTTTCTTTACACACCTATAAGCTATGTAAGCTCTCTTGTAAATATCCCAAAAGTTATCGTTTGTTTTTAATGTACATGTCAATAGTAGCCAATCCCAATGTATGCATTGCACACCACAATCTCCTGGATTGTATAGGTATGGGGAAGGCTATCTTGGTTCTTGGTGGTACTGCATAGCCTTGTACATATTTAGTCCAATATTCAGTTTAAAATTACTGTCATTGTAAGGTTTTTAAAAACCATGTTTTATATAATATATCTCTTAATAAACACAAGTATTATTTAGAGATAGGAAAGCAAGGCTGAGAGAGAATGAGTTGTTTTCAGCCATGCAGAAAATTACATGTACATCCATATTTTATTCAGTGGATTCAGGCCAGATACTCTACATTCTGTACACATTTCCTTTTGGTATTAAATGTGCCTCTTGTTCACAATACACTTGTACTAGATCATCATAACATTATGTATTAAAGCAGATGCATATATAATGTAAATCAGCTTTTTATCTTGATATCTGTTACAGAAGGCCTTGATGCAACAGCAATGTACATTTTTGTACATATCTGAGTGTATAATTATAAAGGTGCAAAGTATTGAAATGTATGTGAAATAGTTAGGAGCAGCTTTTCAAATAACTTAGGCTTAGGAGCTTTGCAAAAGATACAGCTGTCAATTTTGAAAATGAGCATGGCTGCAGCCATCTTCCTTATTCATTTTCGGTTGACACAGTGGAAGAAGGGAGGGGGGATTGCCAGGTGCTTTGCTAGTCAAAATAAACTTTTGTCCCGTGGGAACCAAGGTCATTAGCTGCACCCGAGACTGCAGGCTGGGCGTTTTGTGCAAAGCCTGCCAAGAAGATGTATTGGGGAAGGTAGTTGCTTGCATAGCCTTAGGGGTGGGGTTTCTTAACTTTGTATTGGGGAATTGTTACGTGTATCTTTAGACTTGGTTTCACTTTTGACGTGCCGATACTTTATAACTAATAAACATGTTCTTTGAGAAATTTCCAAGCCTCAAGAGTTCTTTATTTGTCTCTGTCTGTCGGAACCATGACAACAGCTGCTTTAAAGATTGAAAGAAAGGTGTTTTATTTGTACTCCTATGCATGTAAACCTTAGCTATCTCATCTGAATGTGTTTCACAGACCTAATAGTTATACAGTACTATGCACTCAGCTGACAGGCATAATGATATACTGTTTAATGATATATTTATAGCAAGTGAGACAAAGCAAGTCTCTTTAAGCTGAGAAATGTGATTTCTCACATGATGCAAGTATGACTGTGGTAGGTTTACTCCTCTAAAAGAGCTGAGGAATCATTTCAAATCCATTTCATGCTATACATTAAATATGAAGAAATCAATTATAATTGTGAATTCTTTCCTGAAGAATCTTCACCTTCCGAGCACCAAGATGGGAGAAGATGAAATAAAAGCTTTGTTATCAAAGGTAATAACGATTTGTGCTACATGTTGGCCTTGTTTCAGCTTTTGTCCATGGAGATCTTGAGTCTTTGTTCTTGGCATATGGTGCTACTTTTCAGTTGTGTTTGTTTTTTAACTGGTAGATTATTTATTCTTTTTTTGCCTAAGAAGCAGGTATAAGAAAGTGTGACAGTAATCCTTCAGAGGTATAAATTTTCTAATCTATCCTGCAGCAATGTACAATAAAAAATAATATTAATAACTGTAAGCAAATATATTTACTAAACATAAAATCCCAGTGAATTTTATGTCACTTTTTCCAGATAAATATGCTGATTCACCTTAGCTATCTCACAAGTGTCCCTTAAAAATGATCAAGATAAATCTGTTTTTGCTTTGATTATTTTAGTGACTTTTTAAATTAAAAATGGTTCTTTGCTGAATGAAATTAGGCAGCCAGAGGAAATACAATACTAATCAATGCTAAAATCAAATATGTACTTAACTTTTTCAGTTAAACAATTTCAGGTGATTTTAAGATTTTTAACATCAATATTTCTTCAAGATTTTCAAATATTTATCATAAAGCAGCAATTCTGAATAATTCTGATTCATACAACATAGCAATATTTACTATTACACCCAAATCATTATAGTTCAGGAAAAGCACATTAACCAGAATTAGTTCCCTTTGCTGCAGTGTTTTTGTTGTTGTTGTTCAAAATTAGATTGGAGTTAGGGATTATTGTCTTTTGACCTCCAGAAATAGTGCCAGGAGAATAAAGTATCCAAAACAGAGACTTTTCAGTTGTAACCACTCCGCTCTTCTCTCTTTTCACCATTTATGGGTAGATAATTACACGGGGACACCAAAAACAGAAGCCTTCCAAGTATTTGCTATATATATATTTTTTTATATTCTGTGATAATTTGATGACTTTTGCAACTAATTTGGTATGAAAAAACAGTATGGTAAATTTAAATTAAATGGAAAAATGCATCATAAAAATTAAATGAGACAAGACAATATAAATAAAATAGTAAAACAGAAAATGGTGGATTTTACTTAATTAGAATGTGCTTCAAAACAATTTGATCTTTAATATCCTCCTGAAAGTCGTCAAGGAGAAGGGCCAATTTTAGCTATGCCAGAAGGCTTTCCCAGAATACAGTACCCACCCTGCGACTGAGAAGCAACACCCCAATTTCATACCTCTCACACCCCCACTTCTCAGAAGTGGAAAGTGATGTCTTAAAACAATTTTATGTACAATAATGTGTCACTGTTGGTCATTTTTCTCATTTCAAATCTTTGTATTTTGTTTATAAATGACAGCATGCTCCCCCTTTTCATGAATTCTTCCTCACTGTTTCTTGATAATATTCACCTTTTAAATTCTTGCGTATTACAATGGCCATTATTTATTTTATTCATCACATTCTACAACTGCCCGTCTCCCTTACAGAGGAAGTCTGGGCAGTATAGAATAAAATATTAACACAACAACAACAATCTATATAAGTTTAAAAAGAGGTAAGGATGAAAACAATGTGAAAAATTAACTAAAAGGTGAAGGGAGGGCTTTCTGGGTACTAACGACCCCCACAGCTGCATGGTCCTCTGTGCGCCCCAAGCAAGGCCTCAGAGCCATGTTTTCACACTTCTCTGGAAGGCCAGGATGCTGGGGGTCCATCTCAATTCTGCAGAGAAAATGCTCCACAAGGCAGGGGCAATGGCAAAGAAGGCTCTCTTTCTGGATTAATTAACTAATGGGATCTGCAACATATTTCCCTACCTAACCAGATGGGACGGACTGATATAATGAGACAAAGACTGTTTTCTCATTATAAAGAGATTTGGTTCTATTTTCCATGGATTGCATGGACATAATGCATTCCTATCAAACTGTAGTTAATCTCACCAGGGCAAGAATCTTTCACATTCTACAAGTGGTCACTCTTGATTAACAAATTAGCATTGCCAGTACCTTCACCCACTGATGTATTTGAATAATAGTCTCTCTGTCAGATAATACATTGACATCCATAAAGATATATGCCCATTTTTTAATATGAAAAGTGCCAGAAAATCCTT